GTTCTGGCCGAGGGGTTGCGCATCACGAGAGCTTTTGACGAGGCTTTCGGTTTGACTGTTCACCCTCGGAAATCATGTCGGTTTTATGTAGGCGAGGCCCAAGAAGACCCGACGCACTACTGGTCATGCTTGCCTTTGAAAGTTTCTGTGAAATACCTCGGAGTGCAGCTGGAGACTGATCCGGGAGGGTCTCTGTCCAATGGCGATGCTCGTGGTGAGGCTGTTAGGGCTAAGGTCGTTCGTGCTCGCTTGCTTCCCCAGCCTGAGGTGCGCAGGACATTGGTTGCCAGTTACTTGCAGGGTCTTTACGCTGAGGGAGTCATGATGACGCAACTGGCCTGCGACCGCCTTACTACGTCGGTAGTGCAGGCTTGGTGGGGGCCGACGCTCAACAGTCGTAACTACATGCGTAGTGAGGCCTACACTCTTGGTCTGCTGGCTCCTCTTCATCGCATGGCGCCTGTGATGGTTCAGTGCTGGTCCACGGTTGTTGCTCTTGCTAGGCTTCTTGTTCAGAACACGCTGCTTGGTCAGGGTATTTGGCGGGCTTGTTTTCAGGAACGTCGCTGTATTGGGTTTGCCAGGCAGGTTAGGAGGTGTCTTCTTTTCCTGAAGTGGCAGTGGGCTTCTTGGGACACGCTCATAGATTCCTTCGGCCATCGTCTTCATTTACCAGACCTGGCGTTGCGCAACGCTAGAGGCGACAAGGCGAAGCATATCTTCAGGGACCGGTTGCGGGCCTTCTGGTGGCAGTACTGGGACTCGTCTCGCATAGCTCATGGAGGCATTCTTTCTGGGGTTGATCGTGAGCGCTCCTTGCAGCCCCTGCAAGCTCTTCGGCTACGCAAAGGAACCTTCGGATGGGATGGCACTGACGCAGGAGCTCGCTACGCAAGATTCCTGGCAGATGCTCTCTGGTCGCGGAATCGCAGGAGGCATGCGGGCAAAGTTGAGTCTGCTCGGTGCTGTCGCTGCGGAGTTGAAGATGAGCGCACTGATCACTTCCTCTGGGGCTGTGTGGCGAACCGCGAGGCGCAGATCGTGCTTCGAAGAGACTGGGATGCGGCCGCTGGTTCCAGCAGCTGGCCCGCTGAATGCGCTTCCGGATGCCCTTCCGCAGTGTCTTCGGCAGTGTGGCGTAGTCCCGCAGGTGTCTGGGCGCGATGAGGCTCCTTGGACGGATGGGCAGCTGGCGGCGCTGCAGCGGTACTTCGTCACTGTACTGCGTTGTTGGGCGGCTGACAGGGATCAGGATGCGGATTGCATTCCGGCCCCCTTTGCAGGCATCGTGGCGTGAGGAGTTCTTCTTCGTCCTAGCGGTCGTCGCCTATGAGAGGGTGGCCCCCTCTTTCTTTCTATCTTCCGCCAGAACGGGATGTTCCGTGGGAGGCCCTCACTGCGCAAGCTTGCCTTGAAACGGCACCCACTCTATGCTAGTGTCAGAAGGAATCAGAAGAGCAATGGATGCCCAAAAGGCGGAGCAATCGCCCTCCCAAGACCCTAGCAAACCCCTACGAACCCGAAGAACAACCCCCTCGTTGTCGCACAGCAGACGGAGAGACCGCACCTTAGCAGCGTGCGCCGCCGCAACGACTTGCCAGAGCGCAGCTCGCTCCCCGGCAGCAGGCGTGTGTTCAACATCAGGCACTAAACCCGAAAACTTACACCCCTCAGTGGAAGCCACGCCCCACGCAGCGCGTTGGTGGGTCGCGGCAACCGCAGACACAAGGCAACTCCCATCGATTGCCAGCAGCACCGGCTCGCACGTGTCCCTCAAATGAGCGACGAGCTCCGGATCAGGCACAGGAGGTGCAACCGTGCTGCGAACGGCCATAGGAACAAGCGGCACAAGAGTGCGGCGCTCCTTTTCTCCAACCGCCAGGGCACTGCAGGACAGTCAAAAGTGGCGTGATGCCGGTCGTATTCGCTGGCCCCACAGACGCAATTTGCAGGCAACTGCAATCTCGCCAACTGCCTGCCATCGGCAGCGGCTCCCGACACAACCCGAAGCAAGTACCTGTCAACACCACGAGCCGCGAGGCGGCGAGCGACTGCAAAGTCAGGGTGGAGTCCGTCAGGCAGGCCCTGTTCCACCTTTGAGTCCGACTCCCACATAAAACGCGCATCCACGACTGCTCGGCAAGGAAGCGCACATGCTGGGAAACCCAACCAGGCCTAACCAACCCAAAAGGAGTGTCCCAACCGAAAGAGCCAACCCGCCACCCAAACAACTCGAAGGCTGCAGCGGCCCGGGGGCCGGGGCAGGTTGCTTGCAAGGCGTGAGAGCTGGCGTGACGCCTCCACTCCCACATGAGCGCAGGCAAAGCCAGAGCGAAGATAGGATGCAGGCCGGGTGACGCGATGGCACACCAAAACAGTGCACGAGAGGAGAGCGTCCAGTTGGCGGAGGGCCGCCCCAAACAGCATGCTCACTGATGCGAGCCCAGTCGGTCATCACTGTCTGCGTGAACTTTTGCCACGGTCCCAGCCACCTGAACAAGGTCACAACTAGCGACAGCAACAAGGCGATGCGAAGCGAAACACTTCTGGCCGCCATGGTGATGCGCTTGGCGCGCCTGCGCATGACCTCAGTAAGCCGTCCGGCACAAGTGCAAGCATCTGCCCTAACATGATAAGTGACGCCAAGAAGTTTGAAGGTGTCTTGGGGAGTGCCTATGAGCTCGGCCTCCTCAAACAAAGCTTCCCTGGCATCCTGCGTGGTGCCGAAGCATTCGAGTTTGTCCTCGTGGGTGGTCAATCCCAGGTCCGCAACGAGCACCTTTGCAGTCTTCGCAGCCTGAACAACAGCTTCAACCGCCGCCGAGCCGGAGCTCCAGAGGGTTCTGTCGTCAAGAAACAGAGCAACCTTGACCATCGGAGTCTCACGTTTCAGAGCCCATAACCACACAGCCATCAGGCTGTTCAGCAAAGCAGGTGAAGCCGGGCAACCTTGGAGTAAGCTGCAGGTGCTAGGCACGGCACGTGGGCAGTATAATAAGCACCCCTCACCGACAGCCACCGTACCTGTCCGGCGTAGTAGTGCGCAATGAGGCCGCAGAGGGCCCGCGGAGCGCCCAGCCACCTCCACACCAGAGTGGCAAGCTCCGGACTGGTGGAGTCGAAGCACCGCTTGATGTCCGCCTTGCAACCAACCATTCTTATCGCGGTGAGCAGCGCGCAAGTCCTGGAAAATGGCGGAGTGAACGGTGTGGATAGAAGCATCCGGCACCCCTCCACACAACTCCGGCGGGACCCACGACCGCACCCAACCTCGTAGGGCACGCATTGTAACAGCCCTGCACAGCCGCCACCCCGCCGTAGCGATAGACAGCGGCCGACTACCTCCGGATGCCTTGGCAATGAGAGTAACCCGGATCTGCTTCCAAGCTACCGGCAAGACCTGATCCCTCAGGCAAACATCCCAAAGTCCCAAAGAGCACCCAAAGCCTGAAAGAAAGAAAACCCTAAACAAGCGAAGTGGGCCGGTCGCCACCCGTCCAGTCCGGCAGCGCGCTTCCGCGATTGCTTCGCACGTGCTTGAAGGGCAGCAGGCGACGTAGGCGGTAGCTCCCACTCGGGCCTCGGAGCACCCAGTTCAGCACACAACCTTGCAACCTTCTCGGCATCGGGGCGCTGAGCCGGGCACCACTGCCTCTCCCATGTGCGGGTCCAACACTTTGTCCTCAACGGGCACGGCTTGGCCAACCCAAGCACTCAGTTTAGAGGCATCCTCCTGAATCTCGCGCTTCCAGTGAGCGACCTGGCGATCCCTGCACTCACGGGCGGCTTGCTCAGCAAGCTGGTGAAAATGCTGAGCCGCCTCAGCAGTAGCAAGCGGCATCGTGGGCCACACCTCTTCAAAGTCCTGGCGAGGCAATGGTCGTCGGGCTGCTTGGCTAACTCCGCAGTCCGCCGAGCCAGGCGTCGCAAGCGTCTCTCCCGAAGTGACTGGAAAGAGGGCGCATGCCAGAGTGCATTGCCTCCCGCCGAGGGCCGGCGACGGCTGACCCAGCGCAGTATTGCTTCACAGTCTCCTGCGCAAGAGTCCGCTCAGCAGCACCGCTGAGCAAATGCCATGCCTCGTCAATTTCGCCAGCAGCCAAATTCTCAGCAAAGCGCTCGTTCAAGGGATTCCAAACAGTCTCCCAGGCAGCCGAAGCCTCAGAATCTTGCAAAGGCCTGTAGCGCGTCCAAGAGTGCTGCACTGGCCGGCTGGCGACCTGCAGGTCGTAGGCCACGAGGTCGTGGTCCGCCGGCCCCCGCAACTGCAGCCTACCAGAAGTAACTAAACCCCTAGTGCCAACCCCAAAATCAATAGTGTAACCCGTCAGTTCGCCGTCAGGGTCCCTGTGAGTCCCCTGCGGCTCGAGGACATGCAACCGATGATAACGGCCAACGAGAGACTTCAAGATTGTAGTCGCCCAGCAATGCGAACTCCTCACCGGTTGCTTTGAGCCACTCCAACAGAGAAGCAGCAAGATAACCGGCCTCGGTCACGCTGGATGCCGGCAGATTGGCATTGGCGAGGAGAAAAGGCCGACAGCTAGGCCTGTGAACTTTGGCCACCAGAAACCTACCACTGCACCTAGGATCATCAGGAGCAGCAACAACCTCGATAGGCCATTGCGACAGGAATGCAACACCTGCAGCAGGGTTACCCCGGCTATCGAAGGTTTGAGGCCCCGGCACGAATTGCCAGCTGGCAGCGCGCGCACCAGTAGTGGCCGCACTCACACCTTCATCCGCAAGTCTGGTTTCCTGCAAGCACACAATGTCAAGATCGGCATGAGCAGCCAACTCGAGCACGGCAGGGAGTCTCCCCGACAGAGTGCGGACGTTAAGCGTCCCCAATCGCAATCGTGAACAAGAGCCCGCCATGGCTCCTGAACCCCGGCTTCCGGCTGCAGGCGCCGCAGCAAGGCGCTGGCAGTGTTTCCAGCAGTGCCGCCCTCGCTGGCGAGCGCGCGCAGCTTGGCGAGCTGACCCTTAGAGTACTGTGACTACGCCTCGCCCACACATGGCTTGTTGCGGAAGGCCCCAGCGGTGACATGGATGCGCCGGCACAGAGAGCACAGGAAGCGCACAGAGAACTCTCCGATAGGCCATGCGATGGCCTCGAGCCGATGCTCACGCGGCTCGGCAACGACGGCTTGCTGGTTGAGCTGCTTGATGATTTCAACGGCCCGCATCGTGTTGTCGCGCACCTCCTCGGAGAGATCGGTGCGCTCGAGGGCCGCAGTGAGCCTCTCCACAAGCTGCTTGCGCTTGGGGCCCTTGCTCGCAAACAAGCGGCAAGGAGCATTGGCGATGTCCTTCAGCCGCGCTGCATAAGCCCCACACTTACGACACAACACCCTGTACAAAACCCGATTCTTCTTGGCCTTTCCTGTCGGTGGCGTGGCAACTCGGATAGGATCATGCACGCCAGCCTCACCCTTCTTCAACCGCATGAGGTGGCTTGCCGCACCCTTGTTGCGAACCGCCTTGGTGGCGACCGGAGCATTGTTTGCCCGAACGAGCAGAAAGTGAGCCCTGGGCTTATCCGGATGATACTGTTCGCGATGGTGCAGGCGAGCATGGAGGCGGCTGTCCGCCGATCCTTCGGTCCCCTGGCCTTTATCACAGTACCGGCATGTCCAGATGCAGGCTGGCGTCCACGGCAAGAGCCCAACGGGCCTGCAAAGGGAAAGCATCGCACGCAGGTCAGGGTGCCATCGCATGATGTGCAGGCGTTTGTTGATGCTCCAATACTTACCAACCGCAACGAATCCGCACTCATCGCACCTCCACTTGGAGTGAACCGGGCGAAGCCTGCGGCGTTTGTGGCCCGCCACCGGGGCTGGCGGGGGCGGTATGTCAACCTCACCGTCAATGTCATTGGCGATGTCAGGCGCAGATGTCGCCGCAGATGCTCGTGCGAAGAAGGAGCGAATGTCGGATCCGGGCGGGCTCGTGGCAGGATGGTGAGGCGAAAACCTCTGGCACTGAATGTCAACAGCCGTGTCACCCGACCGGGAGGCATCAAAAGTGCTCCTAAACCACCTAAGCCACACCGCATCCTCAGGCAGGAGAGGCCCCTCACACGCCCCAGCAACTTCCGAAGCGGCTCCTTGCTTCAAAGCAGTGGCGAGTGCGGCGGAGGCCTCCAGCAGGCAGCGCGCGAGAAAAAGACCCGGCTCCCGAAGACTCAGAGCCTCGCAGCTTGGCAATGGCACATTGCACAGCATTTTCCCCCCCTCTGGCAACCCCCCGGTCTCGGCTCGAGAATCGGGGGTTGCCTCAGCCGAGTTTTGGGCCGATTTGGGCCCACACCCAGACCTCCCATTTGGAGACGAAATCGGTGCGCCTTCGGGCGCTTGGGCACAGGAACCGGCCTGTCTTGCGAATCGCGAGTCCACATAGTCCAGGCTGAGTCGGCGACAGAGGCTGCATCATCGGGTCCCCCACCCCTGGCGCTCCGCATATCAGGTGCACTGCAAATGGCACTGGGAAAACCCTGATCCTTGGCAGAAGGCCTCAACTAACCGAAGTGTTGGCCCGTAACCAAAGGGCAACGCGAAACGTCCCCCCTGGTTATGCACAACCGGCGGAAGGTCAACATGCCTGGGCACTACGAAAATTTCGAGATTGTAGGCTCGGGCTGCCGACGCTATCTCGAGCGGTCCAGCCCAAACCCCGTCTCCTTGCATGTGACTAAGGTAAGCCGGAAAGTCAGCCAGCTCCTTGCCACCGGAGTCGGTCCGGTCCCACCACGCCCACAGCGTTCGGCCGTGTTTCCAAATCCGGTATTTGAGACATGAGGAAGATGTTTTGTGTAATATGAAAACACCGAAGAAGCCTCGGCGGATTCAGTGAAGACGGGGAGATGCGTGAAGTCCTGCCTTCAGCGCCGCCAGTGATCCCATTTACGTGAGCTTGTGTTCAGCGCGAGCCCGAAGAAATTCACAAAACTCCATCGACCCCGAGAAACCTCTTCGAGGTGCTACTCTGCTGCTCGCCCTCTCGCAAGTTTGCACAATGGTTGCTCTTCGCTGTAGCCGAGCTCTTTCCAACCTCGCCTTCATCAAAGCGTCTGGGGCTTTCGGGCTCTCGCTTAACAAACCCGGGTGACAAAGAGAGGCAGCAGCTCCTTCGAAGCTGTGCCAATGTTCAAGGAAAGCATCTACCTTTAATCCAAGGCCCGGTTCGAATCGGGTGGTTTTTGAGTGTTCGAGGCTTGGGCCTCGGCGTGCAGGTGACCTTCCTGAGCCTTTCAGGCGTACCGCCGAAAAAGCCGGTCGTTACGCTCACGTGTCTAATATTCTTCGGGCACAGACGTGGCATCAAAACGGGGGTTTCTTGTGCTTGCGAACTCGAGGACTTGGGTGACAAGGGTTCCGGATTTGTGGGTTCGTTGTGCAGGTCGCCGAATTGCATTATTGTTTGAAAAGGCACTCGGTGTTTGGCACCGAGCGGAAGGGCGGTTCCATGGTCTCGTGCGGCTCAAGTGTTGTTACAAGGCATGTGCCCTTGCGCTGAACCCTCAAGCAGTGAGCAAACCTATCTTGCCTCCACATTGTCGCTTCCTGGCTCCAAGTGACACTTGCCCAGACTTGTTCTGTATATGGTTTTGGGCCAGGCAGGGCAAAAAATCAACGCGTCCACCAGCTGCCAATGTACCCTCCAGTATTCATCTTTGCATCAGTGCTCTTTCACTTTGCCGGAACGTTCCCGGCGTGCTTCCTCAGTGCAGATGTCTCTTGCTCACTGTGGCTGGGGGTTGCGTTGGGCCTCCAAAGGATAATGAGGGGGACAGACAACGAAATCTTGCCCCCATGCCTGTCCATGACTGAGCATCATTTTCACCCGCTACTGGACAGCTTGCATTTCTTTGAACACAAGGAACGCATGCCATCGTGATGAAGTATCTGCGAAAGCCAGGTTCAAGCCGTTGTAAATGCTCTAGCTGATATAGAAGACGGACAGTGTCCGGGCGCGACGGCGTTTTCTTTACCCTGACCTGCCAACCGGGAGCCAAAGCCAGCAGAGTTTGCAAATTTGGCCGAGCACAGGTTTTCTTCTCTCGAAACCGTGATTTTGCACGGCATCTCCATGGCCCAGTGGGCAAGTAAGCATGCGGATGAATTCCGGGCCTAAGGCTCTATGGGAAATTGGAGTCCAAAGTGCGGGGCATAGAAATGACGGGGGCAAAGCTGCTTGAGAAAGGGCATTTTTGACGCTGCGGCGGTACTTGATATGAACCGGCATCTCTCACCTCTTCGCAGAACTCAACACGGCACAGCCAACGATCACCAAGCCACAGCAGCCACAGCCTCAGCAGAACGGCGCTGAACGGGGCAGGCCTCCGGCCCTCAGCAGTGCCGGCGTCGGCCGAGGATCGCAGAAGTCGGCCTCGAACTTGAAAGTTCAGCCGATGCGACCAGCAGCAAGTTTGGAGTTGTGAAGATGTGTCCAACCCTTCAACTGTCGATACGAAGTCTGGGAAAGAAGCTGTCTCAAGCCTTCGAGCGGAAGAGTCCACGTTGAAGTTTGCCTCGTCGCAAGACCGTAAGGATGTAGAGTTGGAAGTTGTCCTTGGGTCGTTGCTGGAAGTAGGCCTCATCGAAGGCCGCGGCAACCCGGGTGTTGTGCAGCCTCGTCGGCTCACAGGGGCGCAAGACAAAGGAAGCAACGCCTCAAGCCTACATCAAATGCTACCTGACGTAGACGTGGCATCGCCTCTGCAACATCTTTCGTAGCAAGATAGATTTCAAATGCGTGCAAGGCACGGAGGTGCTTCCAGGAAGTTCTAGGGCTGGGACCGCCTGCCGAGCCTGGAGTTCGATCGAGAGACCAGGCCGGCGCCTGCGCGCCTGGAAGTGCATCTCCTCTTCTCCTCGTCTTGAGCATGCAAGCTTGTGTCAGTCGTTGAAAGCGGCCCAAAGCCCCTGGCCCTCTGGTCCCGCTAGTTCGCCGCCCCAAACGCCTGAAACAGGGGAGCTGCGTCGGCAGGTCCCGCCAAAGCTGCCGGGCCCTGATCAAGGCGGAGGTAGGCCCGGGTTTTTGCGGGACTGGTCCCTGAATGCTCGATGCCTTTAAAGCCTGCCAAGCACTTACATGCTACCTCAAACCACGCCGCAGTTTCTGCTGACAGGGTGGAAGCTCGAAGAGCGTTCCAAGAAGGTTATCCAAGCGGACAAGGTCCGACCGCTGGCTATGCTGGGGATTTGACAGCTTCTCGGGTCCGCAGGTCTTAATTTCTGTAGCTTCAAGGAGGAGTTGGTGCTTCGGACGTGGGGAAACGAGAAGGGGATCTCCATTCCCAAAGCCAAGCCGCCGAAAGAGCTTCGAAGACTCCACGAACCCTGCAAAAGGCATCCCAGCTCTCAAGACTCAAACCCTGAACCCGAAACCTTGAATCCACCAAACACCCGAAACTCTGAACCCAAAACGTGAAGCCGACACTTTAGAGCTGTCTCGCAAGGAAGCTCGACACCCTCAGGAAAGCACAGCCTACTAACCCCAAACCACCCGCCTCATGACCTTTGCCGAAGACCCTGAACCCTTTGAGCTCTTTGCCGTACATCCGCACGGTTGAGACATAGCTCACTCCTCCTTCCTGGATCCTGCCAGGACTGGCGAGCAGTTCTATGAAGTTCCATGGAGGAACCCGAGAAAGAACGGTACTTCAAGGAGACGGTGCAGCCCCTGGCAACGGAGCTCGTCTGTGATGTGCTCCGTGCCATGCCGGAGGCGGGCTGAACAAGTTGATTCGAAGAGGGCCTCAGCTGCTGTATAGAGGAATTGGGCCCAACCTCTGTTGCAAGTTGCAACCGACATGTGGAAGTTGTTTTCGCTGCAGGCTTTCAAGACTTGTCCTAATGGCTCTGCGACTGCGCATCTCGGTGTGTCAGGACCCAGAGTCCTTCATGATCCAGTGGCTCCGTCAGCGCGCTCCCAACACCAAGTGCCACGCAATGTCCCTCCGACGGCGGAATGCAACCCTCAAGGAGGAAGCGGTCTGAGACGAACTTTTGCTCGAATGGATGCGGATTGCAGTTCCGGGTTTGTCCTGTGAGATGCTGTTCAGGAGCTGTTTGCGCTGCAGGCTGACCATGCAAGTTGCGACACCAAGGCCGAATCAAGGGTACTCGGGGGCCCCTTAATTCAGGGTTTCCTGAAGGTCGGTTCGAGTTCCGCATCAGGAGATCTGTCACCTGCAGAGTCATATACCAACCCTGAGGAACCTAGGATGGAAGCGCAGAGGAGTTGTGATGAATCGCTCCTGTCCGCGTCTCCACCAGGTCGGCGACCCAGACGAAGTCATTTCTGTGGGCACACTTCGTCACATCGTCCAAAGGCTTCGAGGCCAGCAGAGCAATCCTCGCAACCTGGAGAGAGTCCGGTGGGTTGAGATTGGCTGGCGCAAGCTTTGAGGCGATGGTTTCACCGAGGAGGAATTCCAGGTCGGAGCCAGTCAAGCTGCACTTAGAGCTGGCTGCACACGAAGTAGTCCTACTGGATTTCGATGTCAGGATTTTCAGAACCTGGGTTGAACCTGCCTTCGAAGTCTTCCAGCCAGGGCATGTTGCTGCGAGTTCCGTTCGATAGCCGGGCACTCACGAAGCACGCCCAGTGCGACCCGGTCGCTGTAGGTTTTCAGCTCGTCTGCTTTCAATCGCTTGGATTGCGGCACCAAAGTTTTCAAGACCCAGCCCCAGAGCCCAACTGCCGTCTCCAGCATGCCTAGGCCTGGGCCAAGTAAGCTGTCGGGTGCTCACCAGCTGCCTGCAGGATCAGAGCAATTGGAGGGCTTTGCGATTGCCTTTTCCTCTTTCGATCAGGGCTGTCAGCCATGACTGGATAGTGCTAACCTCCAAACTCCCAACTTGGATCACTTTGGAGGTGCAGAGCTTCTGCACCCAAGCTTTTCTCGAGAGCTGCTTTCGATTGCTGACAGGACCCCGCTCAGCGCCCTCCCAGAAATTGCGAGCCAGAGCTGCTCGGTGCCATCCATGTGCACAGTTTTCAACACCTCCGAGAAGCATTACGCACATCCTCAACCGTAAACCCTGCAGCCATAAGCCTTCAGCCCCAAATGACCTAATGCTAAAATCAAGACTCACCCGCCTCTAAAGCCCCAACATTCCACACTCTAAGCCCTAAACAACGGAAGCCACCGAACCTCCCCAAACCCCGAAACCTTAAGTGCTATACACCCTCTCTGCACGAGACACTGTAAATCCCCACCCCTAAAGCCCGGTAACTGTCAGCCCCAAAGCCATAAGCCTTAAAAGCCCCCAAAGCTGTCCAAAGGAAGGGGCCCGGAGCAGCAGAGCCAGCTCCCGAGGTTCTCCCAGCCGAGGAGGCCGGAGAAGTTATGCTGCTATGCTTGGATGTTTTTGCGTTGTTTTAATTATGGGGTGTTGACAAGGTTGTATACTTGTCTTGTTATAGGTGGTATGACTTATAGAAATTTCGGGGGAGACGCTCTTCAAGAGTTTAGGCTTGAGATTTACAGTTTCGGGATTCAGTTAGTAAGTTTCGGCCTTGGGGTTAAGGGTTGCAGGGTTGAGTTTCAGCTCGGGGTTGGGCTGAGGCTCTTGGCTTTGTGCACGGGTTCTGGCTTGTGGCCTTGTAGATCCCGTCCGCCCTTGAAGTCGTAGACGCTAAACCCTTAACCCCGGCTCCTAAACCCTAATAAACTCTGAGCAGTGGACGTTTGGGGGCCTGGAGGGGATGTCGGGCATGAGGGACCAGCCGGCCGTGTTGTCGTGTTGTCCGGCATCCAGCATTATCTGAGCCTCGCCTAGGCTTATCGGCTTGTCAGCAGGTTGTTTTGGTGGCAGCATGTTGCACCACACGTCGCTCGAAGGTCAAAGGGTGATACAAGGGGTCGGAATAATTACTCGAAGTATCTCTTGTAGTCGTCATTGAGTTGTACTCTAATGTACACCTATAAGCTATTTTCAGTAGTTGAGGCTGTTATATACACTATATATACACATATAACTTTTTCAGTTTCTTTTTTGGTTTTAGCTTTGAGTGTTGGGCTTCAGCATCATGTTGGCACGGCTTTGGTGGTTTAAGGCCCGGTTTAGGGCTTTAGACGTCCCTGCCGGTTACCCATACATAACATTACTTCAAAACGATTTAAGGAGCAGGAACACCCTCCGAACTAACTGGACTTCTACGGCAAAGGCTCGCATATAAGGGTGGGAGATTTAGGATGCTTCAGAGAGTTTGGCTCTCATACAGTATAACCCTGCGCCTTCCTTTTTCCTAAGGTCCTGAAGCCACAGCCGGAGATGCACTGGAACCCAAGATCCTAAAACCTAAATCCTAAATCCTAAACCTTCTGGGACGCTGCTCGCAGATCGGAGAAGGGCCGTAAAGCAAAGCCTAAACCCCTTCTCTCAGCATGATTTACTTCCGAAGCCCCATGGCCCGAAGCTTCAATCGACTCAAGCCCGTCGTATTGAGAAGCCTGGATAAAGTCCTGAATCTAAAACTTCTCTATCTTTAGGTTTTACTGCTCAGGTTTCAGGGTTTAGGGTTTGGGGTTCGGGGCTTGGGGTTTAGGATTGGGTTGGGGGCTCAGGGTTTAAGGTTTAGGGTTTAGGGCTCCAGGATCACCTTTAAAGCCTTTCCTGAGGCGGCTTCAGCCGAGCCCAGCCCCCAGCCGGCTGCGACTCCAGCCGCAGGCTCATTTACTGGTAGAGGGTTTCGGCTTTTAGGTTTTGGGGGTTTAGGGGGTTAGGGTTGTAGGCTTTAGCGGTTTTGGGTTCTAGGGTGCAGGAGTTTAGGGGTTTAGGGTTTAGGTTCTACATATCCTTTCAGGTAAAGTAAAGCTTCAGATTGGGATCGGATTATCGGCCAGTACTTTTTCTTGCATGATGTGTAGTCGTAGTAAAATATAACCCCCAAACCCTGCTCAAAAATTCCCTTTGTATTTCCTTCGCGGCCTTTCGGAACTCGAAGGGGTCCAGGGCTGAAGCTTATTGGTTTTTGAGGTCTTGCTGGAGGGCCTCAGGGTTTCGAGGGCTTGGAATCTGTTGTGTTTGCAGATTTGTTGGTTTATATAGTGGGGGCTTGAGGTGATTAGGTGTAGGCGTAGGGCTTTGGGTTTAGAATTTTGTGTTGAGGGTTTTCGGGATCTTAAGAAAGACTAGCCGCTTTAAATCAAGGCCACCGCATTTTGACCCGGAAAGAACCATGGGCCTAATAAACCCTGCGCGACCATGATCCCGCTATGAGGCGCATTCGAGGAATCCAGGTGCCCACCAACAGAAAGACGCGCGCTTTAAGTCTAGACGTTTGACAAACAGAGGCTGCAGCCAATTTGGCAAAACCCGAAAACCCGATTGCACTTTGTTTAGTTTTAAACCATGCAAACAGCAGGCCTTGCGCAGCCAAGCCATGCAATCGCCCAAATCACAAGCATCCCGTTGTTGCAGGCAAAGGCAAGGTGGAGGGCCCTCCGGCAAAGGGAAAGCAGCTTGCCTCAGGTTAGGGTTTTGCGTCTAGGCTTTGGGTTTAGCGTTTGGAGTTTAGGGTTTAGGGTCTGGGGTTCAGGGATACAGGCAATTGCTGCGGTCTTGTTCAGCAACTTACTTGAAGCCGCGACAACAATCACGGCTTATGTTCGAATACATATCCCGCTTGCCTTGCATGTTGTGGCTTAGAGTAGCAAACGCTTGACTTATGTTCGAACACATATCTCCTTGCCTTGCATTTTGTGGCTTAGAGCAAACGCTAAACCATGCCAGAAGGTTGAATGGGTTTCGCATGGCCTGAAGTTCTTCAGCCCGCAACAGCTGAGAAGCTCACCGAAGAAATTCTAGTCCGTCAGGGCTTGGACCTGTGTGCGTGGTGTAGGACAACGGCGGAAGCTGGTGGAATTGGTGGAAGCAATGCCGCTGCGGCGGCAACAGCTTTGCAGGCTGTCTCACTTCTGCCTGGACTTGTCTTCCGTTACTTTTGGACGGTGCAGAAATGCATTGTTGGCAATGTCTCAGGCAGCACCGGCGCCGAAGGAGTACGACCTAGCTGACAAGAGCAAACTGGCAGACTTCCTCGAGGATGCGGACATCCGTTTGGAGGTGGGATTGTCAAGTTGTCGTTCGCAGTCTACACCAGTTGCAGGTTCATGAATGAATCTTGCCAGTCATGAGTTGGAAGCTGGATCTGTGACTCAAGGCTAAGAGCCTGTCTGTCAGTATTGACAATTTCACAACTCGGATGTGGCCTTCGGACCAACGAGGAGTCCCTGCTGACTTTTCTGCTTGCCAGGGAGGCCCGGGCTCGCGGAGGATCTCCGAGGATGCCCTCCGCGTCATCGTCAGGAACCTCAAAGGCCCGAAGCAGATTTCGGCAGCCGGTCGCAACCTTGGCATGAGGTCGACTGCATACCTGCATATGATATTCACGGGTGGTGGAAGCCCACAGTGCCGGGTAGGCGACCGTTTCACCGTGGAGATGCTCCAGGCAGACACTGTGTCTGGCAAGCTGAGAAATCACAGATGAAATAATCAGTTACAACCGACTACATGGGCCATCCTTGGCCAGGGCATCTTGCAAGAGGTTGATCCTGATTGCTGGGAGCTCAGCCATAACAGAGTACCGTCAGGGTCAGCACCGCCGTTTGCTCTGCGATTTGAGACACACGGTCCATGGTCCATGGCCATGGTGCATGCTTCCGTGCAGAGGCGAGGGGCTGCTGAGCTGCCGGGACTTGGCACGCTGCCTGCGCCGCGCTGATCCAGCTTCGGAGCCCGAAGAGGCCGGGGCGCTGGTTTGAGATGGTTTGAGGGGTATGTATGCGCAACCTGATCCTTTCGATGTCACTGCATTACGCCTGTGCCAGTCCAAGCACTACGACCTGGCTCAGAAGAAGGGGCTCGCGGACTTCTTGAAACATGCGGACATCCGCTTGGTGCATGCCCCGAGCTGCGGTGTTGAACTCTGCAATGCTATCCGATCGTTTCGGTTGCACATTGGAGGGATTTGCACGGTCAAAGTATAGCGACTCAGACTTCTGATCAGAATAAGCCGCACGCGTTCCTCGAGGTCCGCGCCGAGTTCATCCTGAAGCTGCAGCGGGAAGGACAGCGCCTCCCGCGCCGGCAGGAAGCAGAGTCCGCCTATGTGGGAGGCCTCACGGCACTCGTGACGCACGAGGAGGCGCAAGTCTCGAACCCCAAGACGCCTTCCCTCTTTGTCCCAAGGGCAACTTCTGCTGTTTGCCAGCGTCTGGAGGTCCAAGCCTGGGCCGATGGCGAGGCGCTTGAAGGCACCCAGATAGTCTCGTTGTCTCACTGCTGGGAGTCGAGGGAGCATTGTGACCCGTACGGATACCAAGTTGCAAAGCTAGCCACGGCTCTTAAAGGAAAGGAGTGGCTTTTCATAGACTACGTTTCTCTGTACCAGTTCCAGCGACTTTCCCAGAAGCAGAATGTCAGCTTCAGGCGTGCGATGCAGCATATGCATGTGCTGTACTGCCATGAGAAATCAAGCACGCTCCGAATCGAGTCTTTGACGCCGGAAGGAGACATAGCAGAAGCGGAGAGAAAGCAAGACTGTGTGATGATGTATCACCACCCCAGCGGCCTGGTGAAACCAGTGCCGGTCACTGAATTGGTTAAGAACCACACACCCTACGCGCAGCGAGGGTGGTGTGCTGCCGAAAGGGAATGGTCCAGCACAAGGGCAGCCACCAACCTTTCGCGCGAAGTTGATGCTCCGGAAGGCGAGAAGGGTGGAAGCGCCCCGATGGTGCCGGAGGCGTTTCGAGAGAACGTAGCACACCAACTTAAATTCACGCACTTAGATGACGTAGAGACCGTCTGCAGATTGCAAGCGGAAGTGTACCAAGAGAAGGCAGAGATGTGCAAGAGCTTACGCCTGGTAGATTTGGGTGCAACAGCACTCGACATCGCGCTGTCGGCTCTGAAGAACTACCCCCAGCTGGAGCGCCTCGGCATGCAACAGTATGCAGCAACACTTCCCTTTCGGCCCTAGTCTTGACGGCTCGAATCGAGGACGAGGCTAAAGAGGCTTCGCGTTTAGACTGCTGTCACTTCGAGGAGCCTGGAGATCGTCCAGTGCGAGCTGAGCTCCAAGCTCCCGCTGCTGCTGCAGGCCTTGGGCTCGGGGGTGTTTGCTGCGGCAACGCAGCCCACCACTTCGTGGCAGGTCGCGGATGGCAAGAAGCTTCGCCGGCTCCACCTGCAGAGCAACGAGCTCGCGGAGGAGGGCATCCGCCAGATCTTTGAGGCTCGCCGCTAGATGCCGACGCACCCCGCTGACGTGCTGGCTTAAATGAAACGGCACTTTAGGATGCGTTACGGAAGCTCAAGTCTTTTAGGATGTGTGCACACCATGGCTTGATCAGCGCGAAGATGCGCTCCAGGCCTTGGCTTTGCAGCCCAACGGAGCGCTTGCGGCACTGAGCCTCAGCCATGACTGCATAGGCGTCGCTGGAGTCGAGGCTTTGGCCGAGGCCTCGAGCTCTGAGCTGAGCGGGATGGGATTAAGTGGCGTTTCAGAGACGACAGCCACCCCGATCCGTTGCTTCACCGGAGCATCGCCTGCAAAGTCGGCTCTGCACGCAGGCTCTGCGGACGAGCGCTCTGATCGAGCTGAGCCTGAGCCACATGTGCCTGGACAGCGATGGGGTCGGCGCTCTCGCAGAGGCCCTGGTACGAGTTGTATAAGGACTTTCAAGATTTCCACCGAGAGGAAGAGCAGTGGTCAGCGGCTGGCAAGCACTTCACAGAGCTTTGACATCCTTCCGTGCATTCCTTGCTTTATCATTCTGTGCAGGCCATCAAGCAGACTCCGATGCAGAAGAAGTTGAGCCTGGCGGGAGAAAAGCTGGCAGAGGAGGATTCTTTCGCCCTGCTTGAGGCTGGACAGGTTTTACTTGCAGCCATTCTCACCGCCACCATCCGCCACCCCAAGAAGGCATCTGAAGCTGCCCAAACTTAATAGTTTCGGTTCTCGAGACGATTGTGGAGGATACGATGAACTATTTTAGTGAAAAACAGCAACGAACAAGCAACACTAAAAAGCATCGTCGTAGAGGGGTAGCAATGATATGAGCTCGGCCGGGGTGATGCATACCCAAAGCGAGCATCCCAGCAACATAGCATGCAGGGAGATTGTAGTTTTGTTGGTGTAATTTTGAGCATACAGAGAGATTGGAAATTTGGGTTGGGGCCGAGGCTGGGGCTGGCTGCTTGCTGCTGGCTGCAGGGTGGGGTGGGGGTGGCCACCTTAAGCCGGCCACCTTAAACCATGACTACTTGGTAGCTGGGTTGCAGGGTTTTTAACATGAGAATACCCGTAGCCAGCAAGCACAGGCTGTTGAATTACGGATAAGGCACAGCCTGATTGTGTATGTATTTGGGACATGCAGGAACGGTGACACCGGCTGACACGGCCTTATGCGTAACGCAAGACACGGCACATCGCATTGTCAGCCAAACTCAGCATGGCCTCTTATTTGCATGCCGCTGTACGCTACACTGTGTGGCCCGGAACTGGCATCAGCGTCTGGGTAGACCAAGCGAGGTCAAGCAGGCTTATCACCGAAGAAGTCTTTCAGTGTTGGGTCGCTTGGGAAAATACCATGCGTGGCGGGCACTTCCTTCGTGTCAGTCAGCCTCGCCGGGTCGACAACCGTCTCCTCCTTGGCGATGGATGAAAGAGAGTGCAACCTCATCCCTCAACAACAAGAAGAGAGTCCCCCTCAAGTTGTCCGTGGCAAACCAAGAGTGTTTTTTTCCAGCGGAGAGCGCCTGAAGAAACCTCGCTCATAGCAAAAGAGTACAGAGCTCTCCCAACTTCCAAAGCGAAAAGTCCTCTACCTCATCTTTGACAAGCAGAGACTGAGAGCTTCCTCGAATCTAATGAGACAGAAGAAAGCTTCACTTCAACAAAGCAGACAGGCCCCTAAAGCAGACAGGCCCCTCCAACTTCACGAGAACGAAGACAGCTCCGCTTACCCCTCAGTTGGCAACAAGAGACTGACTGCCTTTCTCTCTTGGTGAGGGAAAGAGATCCTGTTGGAAGAGAGCATGCGCTCAAGAAGACAGGGTGGAGCTCCCCCAACCCTCAAATAAAAAAGCCTGGTCTTACCCCCTAGCGTATCGAAGGAAAATATAAGTCCTCTACCTCATGCTTTAAGACAAGAAGAGAGTCCTTCCCCAGCTTTTTCGTTGTAGCAGTAGAAAGCTTCTCTTTAGCACAGAGCTCTTTTGTATCTTGGTTAGTCGCCTGTCAGTCATGAGAAGACTGAAGAGACCTCACTGCTAGTAAAACACGAAAGAGCACCCCGCCCCAACCTTCAAAAACAACGTATGAGTTCCCTACTGAAGCATCGAAAACAAGAAGAAACACCCTCCAATATCACGAAAAAGAAGAGGGCTTAGACTGGCAGGTCCTCTACCCCATCAACTCAAGAGAGACTCCTCTGTCCTCTCGAGAAAGAAGGGAGCTCTGTTTATTTTTTGTCGACAAGAAGAAATCTCCTGTCTTTGTTAGTCAGAGGATGTCAGCGAAACCTCCTGACCATCTCCTCCTCTTCTTCAAAATATGGACGAGAGCTCACGGTCAAGAAGAAAAGATGGAACTCTTCCAAACTTCAAGCCTTGACAAGAGAAGTCTGACACTCCCCACGGCCTTCAAAAGGAAATGAGAAGGTTTTTACCTCATTTTCTGAAGCCAAAAGATAGCTCACTCCAAGTTATTCTCGGTAAGAGGAGAAAGTTTCTTGCTAGCAGAGAGCTCCTTTACCTCTTGGTAAGCCGATTTTTGGCCTTAAGAAGATGGAAGCGACTTCGCTTCTAGCAAAAGTAAAAGGGGACAGAGCTCCCCCATGAAGAGAGCGCACGCTAAAAAAAAGGCCGGAGCTCCCTCCGTCCTTGCAAAACAGAAATCTGGTCCTTCCCCCAACCGTCACAAAGAAAAGGCAAGTCCCTCACCCCATCCATCAACAACAAAGGAGAGTCCCCATCAAGTTGCCCACCGTAAACCAAGAGTGTTTCTTTCCAGCGGAGAGCGCCTGAAGAAACCTCGCTAGCAAAAGAGTATAGAGCTCCCCCAACTTCCAAAGCGAAAAGTCCTTCACCTCATCTTTGACAAGCAGAGACTGAGAGCTTCCTCGAATCTAATGAGACAGAAGAGAGCTTCACCTCAACAAAGCAGACAGGCCCCTAAAGCAGACAGGCCCCTCCAACTTCACGAGAACGAAGACAGCTCCGCTTACCCCTCAGTTGGCAACAAGAGACTGACTGCCTTTCTCTTTTGGTGAGGGAAAGAGATCCTGTTGGAAGAGAGCATACGCTCAAGAAGACAGGGTGGAGCTCCCCCCAGCGTTGAAAAGAAAAGTTTGGTCCTCCCCTCAAAGTATAGAAACAAAAGAGAAATCCTCTACTTCATGCTCTAAGATGTTCCAAGGCAAGAAGAGAATCCGTCCCCAGTTTTTTTGTGGTAGCAGGAGCGAGCTTCTCTCAAGCAGAGAGCTCCTTTGCCCCTTGGTTAATCGCCTCTCAGTCACGAAAAGACTGGAGAGATTTCACTCCTAGCAAGAGACGACAGAGCACACCCCGCCAACCTTCAAAAGCAATGTACATCGAAAAGAAGAGGAAAACACCCTCCAATATCACGAGGAAGAAGAGGGCTTAGACTGGCAGGTCCTGTAGCAACTTAGAAAAGAGGCCCCAATAACTTCTTGAGAAAGAAGAGAGATCTTTTCACTTATTTGTCGACAAGAAGAAAATCCCTTTCTTTCTTAGTCAGGGGCGAGAGCGCCTGACCATCTCCTCCTTTTTCTCTTCAGAAATATGAAAGAGAGCTTACGATCAAGAGGAAAGGACGGGGCTCTTCCACCAATCTTCAAGCCTTGACAAGAGAAGTCTGGTCCTCCCCACGGTCTCCAACAGGAAACGAGAAGCTTTTTACTTCATTTTCTGAAGCCAAAAGATAGCTCACTCCAAGCTATTCTCGCTAAGAGGAGAGAGTTTCTTGCTAGCAGAGAGCTCCTTTACCTCTTGGTAAGTCGATTTTTGGCCTTAAGAAGATGGAAGCGACCTTGCTCCTATCAAGAGTAAATGGGGACCGAGCTCTCCCAGCTTCCAAAAAGAAAAGTCCTTTACCTCATCTTCGACAAGAGGTCACTTAGAGCTTCCTCCAGTCTGATGGTACGGAAGGACGCTGCTCAAGAAACTTCCAATCCCCTTCATGTTTCTGGCACTGATGCCCTAGAAAACCTTGAGTCGCAATGCCCCCATCCTCGGTTTAAAGCGCTGATGCTCTGAAAGCTTAAATCGCAAGGAGTGCCCCCTGTATACCTTAGTCATTTGTGGCGACGGTTCTCTGGAAAACCTGCGCCTTTATCCCTTAGTTTTTTTAGCGATGGTTCTCTAGAAAGCTTTCAATCACAAGGAGTGTCTCTCATATCTTTTCTGCCCCTCAACCTGCTTTGCCTTGCCCCCGTGCTCTGGTTCGGGTTCTCCAGAAACCAGACAAATCGCGAACCCTGGTCGGCAAGATCTATAGTTTAGGCTTTCCTCCAAAGAAACACAATCGCAAACCCGGGTCCCTATCGTCTGTTGGTTTATGTCCTTTCTCTACTGGAGAAGAACTGTAGCCAACAATCTCAGGGACCACGGCTTGCGATAGGTCTCGTAGGTTTTTTGGGTGAAAGAAGACAGGGACAGGCCAGAGAGTAGCTTAGAAACATGACCAGCAGATGTGTGAAATCCTTGCCCTTGGATTAACTTGGGCGATTTGCTCAGCGGCGGCTCACTTCCGCCAAATTTTACTAGCAGATGTGTCAAATCCTGGCCTTGTGTTTTAACGCAATATTTTCAAGCTTTTTGCTCGGCGGTGGCTCACTTCCGCTAGATTTTGCCAACAGCTGTGTGATGTTCCCTAGCCCTCGTTTTGACGCGGTGTTTACAGGCGTTTTGCTCTCACTTCCGCCAGATGTTACCAGCAGGTGTGTGAAATCCTTAGCCCTTGTTTCAACGCAGATTTTTCATTGACCCTTTGCACGGAACCAGAACCACAAGGTTTAGATCCACAGGGTATGTTCGACACAACCGACAAAAAACAGATACATACAAATGAAAAAAGGCAGACAAGATTCAGACAACCAAGAAAATACAGACAAATTAAAGATTAAAGCTGTTACAAAAAAGTAAAGACAAATGGAAACAAATACAGATGTTTATAGACAAACAAAACCAATCAAAGACATTCGAGACCTTTTAAGACTTTTCAAGACAAATAAAGACGTTTCAAAACCATTTAGGATTTTTAAAGACAAATAAAGACGTTTCAAGACAAATGCATTTTTTTGAAAAACATATGAAGACAAGCAAAACCACATAACAACTAAGAACTTTTTCGTTTTGCCAAAGTTTTTTCCATGAAGCCGACAATGAAGAAGACCTGGCACAGGGTTTAGAGTTTCAGGGTTTTAGGGTTTAGGGTTCTAAGGTTAGAAGGCAGAGTGCCATGGTATATAGGGTTTGACGGTAATGAAAGGGTTAGGGTTTAGGGTTTAGAGTTTCAAGGTTTTTGGGTTGAGGGTTAAAAGGCAGAGTGCATTGGTATAGGGTTTAAGGGTAATGACTGAAAGGCAGAGTGCCAAAGTCTTCAACATGAAAGGTGTTCAGTTTTTGTAGTTATCTTGGAGTGATCGTGGCTTGGCTTCGGGTTTTTTGGTCGTGCCCAAACCCCGCCAAACAGCTCCAGGTACTCCACGCCCCCGTACTGTACCACTCCTGTAATGCTACTGTACTACCACCTTACTACTACCCTCTTACTGCTGTAGTACTGTACTACTGCACTACTGCACTACTGCACTACTGCACTACTGCACTACTGTACTACGATTGTACTATTGCACAATTGTACTACTATTGTACTACTATTGTACTACTATTGTACTACTATTGTACTGCTATTGTACTACTATTGTACTACTATTGTACTAATTGTACTACTACTGTGCTACGGTAATGCTACTGTACTACTGTACTGCTGCTGTACTACACACCACTGCACCATACCAGGCCTCAGACGTGGTCGATTGTGGAGGGGAGTGTAGGTTGGAGGCAAAAGTCTTCAACATGAAATCCTAATTTTGGTAGTATCTAACTTAAGCAAAGCCATCCAGACCCTATGCCAGCCGAACCCTGGCCCAGGGCGTCACAGGCGCCAGACTATTCAAGCCAAAAACCTTTGGTGGGGGGGCACGGACCATTAAACGGGCCGCCACATTGCAGGTATTAGAGGTACAAGAAGAAGCTCGATGATGTACAGGTGTTGTTCATCGATTCAAGCAGGGAGCCCCCCTCTAAACTTTGTTTTGTGTGGGTGCTTTGTCTCAGGGTGTGTGGGGGGCGGCGCCCCCCGCGAAACGGTGGCGAATATTTGCGAGTCTCCAACGAAAAAGGTATAAACCCGCAATACGATTCAATAAGATTTTTCTGGGGTAGGCCAAAATTGCGCAAATGTCTTCCCGAATTGAATAATTCAAACAATTTAAATCCGGAGGCCCCCCGATATTTAGATTGTTTATTTTTTTTTAATTCCCGGGGTCCCGGCCTCCTCCCGAACGAACCCCCCTCCTCCGGATTTGAACCGTTTGAATTATTTTCAGTTATTTAGATTATGAAAATTTTCAATTCCCGGCCCGGATCAAATAATTCAACCAATTTAAACACTTACATGATTTGCATAATTCAATCACTGAATGGTCCGGGGCACCGGGAAATAAATGAATAATATAAATAAATAAGATATCGGGGGGCTTCCGGATTCAAACGCATCCCCTCCCCAGGATTTAAAACATTTACATTATTTCAATTCCGGGGGACACCCCCTCCACCCGGATTTGAATTATTGAAATTGTTCAAATTGTCTAACTCATTGCTTCAATTAAATAGTTTACATACTGTAAATCCGGAAACCGGCCCCTATATTTAAATTATTCAAATTCCGGCCCGATTTTTCACAATTTACATAATTTAAATCATTTACATAGTTTGAATCTTGTAAATATTTTACATCGTGAGGAGGGGGGTCCCGGCAGGGGGGACCCGGGAATTCTAGTAATTCAAATAATTTAAATGCGCAAACCGGCCCCCATATTCCAGCTATTTAAACTATTTTTCCCCCGGCCCGAATAAAAAGATTACAGAATTTAGATGCTTTAATTTATTCAAATCCTGGGGAGGGGGAGGGTTCCAGGGGATTCGGGAATTTTAGTGATTTAAATTCCGGAAACTGGCCCCCATATTTAGATTATTTGAATTCCCGCCCCCCCTTGCCCGGATTTAGATTGTTTAATTGATATACATTTTGTACATTGCTCAATTTCAGATCCGGAAACCGGCCCCCATATTTAAATTATGCAATTCCCCGCCCGAATTAAGCAGTCTAAATAATTGAAACAGTTTACATAATTTACATTTAAATATCTTAAATCCTGGGGAGGGCGGGTCCCAGAGGGACCCGGGAATTGAAATAGTTTAATAAGTTTAAATCCGGAAGCTGGCCCCCATGTTTAAAACATCTACACTATTTAATTCCCGGCTCGAATGAAATGATTTCAATAATGCAAACAATCTGAATAAAGTAAATCCGAAGTAAGGGTTAAATCCGAAGGCCCAAGTTAGATACTTCAAATTCGGAGGCCCACCCCAGATTTAAGTTACTTAGTTCCCCTCCTGGAACCCTTTAGAACATAAAACCAGGTCTATTTGGTAGCTATAACCCAGAGTACGTTAAAAACCTTGCAAACCAGCTACCAGACAGATCGGGTTTAAGGTGCACACCGGGGGGGGTGTTAGGGGAATGGGCAAGTGGGGAGGAGGTGGGGCGGGTGTTTCTTTGTTTTTCCAAAGGAAGAAGCGAAAACACAAGGCAACACATAAAACAGAGTGATCAAAAAAATACTTTGACAGGCCCGCCGAAAAAACAATACACACGCGACTGCTCTGGCCTGGCCCCGGCGGCCAGTGCCAGCCCAGGGAGCCACAAGTTTCCTAGCGTGGACTGCTTCTGCCTGCCTCTTTCGTTTTTGTTTTGTCTTGTTGCATTTCTGCTTGGTGTTCATTGAATAACCACTTCATGGTTTGTAGTGGTTGACTGCCGCTTCAGCTTTTGGCCGTTGACCCTTTCCTAGGGAGTCTCGAGCAGAGCACCGCCCCGCAGGCGCTCCGGGTAAGCGGGGTCCAGCTCGATCTGGCGGACAGCGATTTGAGCGATGCGGCTATGGCAATGGCCAGGGCTGTCCGGACCAGCCAGGCGGGGGTGACGAGAGATCCCCGCGTGTCTGCTTCCTTCTCTTTCTCTCACATCTTCCCATCCTCTGTGGCTGTCGCTGTGGGTGCCTTCTTTCTTCAGGTGAAGGGCCAGGTCACCCATCCGGTTGTGGACTTTTTGGTCGAGTTGGAGGCTCGCGGGTTGTTTGGACGTGCGGTAAGTTCTTTATGCTTTCAGGGGCCCGAATTCGGTGCTGAGGGTTGCCGATGGGCACAAGGCATCACGGGGCCATGCATCCACATGTGCATCTGGAACAGTGTGAGGGCTCTGCACCAGCGATCTCACCAAGACAAACCAAAGTATCTTCCAGATACACCGAGTGGCCAAGCCTGGATACCGCACCCACCCGATATACGATTTTGCATGATCACCGTTTATCGCCAGAAGCCCGCTCTTCCTACGACGGGTGGGGGGTGGGGAGCTCTTCGGTGCCCCGGCGGGGGACGGCTGCGCAGGACGAAAAGTTCAAAGATCTCGAGGAAAAGCAAACGCTCGTAGTCGGAAGCCGCAGCCTCGGCTTCGGTGACTCGCCGGCCTCCGGGCATGGCCCGCACTTCTGTGAGGCTTCCAAGAGCTCTTGGAGCCGCTCCACCAAACACTGACGGGCCTTCCGCTCAGAGAGCTGAAGCTCGACGACCTCCCCGAGCGCATCGGCCCCGGCCTCGGCCGTTCCGGGATGGCGCGCGGCGGAGCGGCGGCTCGAAGAGTTTTGGCAGAGGCCCGGGCACTGGCCGCGGCCCTGCAGGGCCAAACAGACCTGGAGCACCTGGAGTTGGACCTGCATTTCCACTCCCTGGGCCCGGGCCCTAGGCACCCTGCTCGTTTGAGCTCGTATGCGGCAGCCTCTTACTTGGAGCACCTGTCCGTCTGTCGTCTTATCAGGTTGTTTAGTTTTGGATAGCTGTGGATTTGTAACTAGAGAGTTCTGGCGGTGTACCATTGTAAACTGTGTCCAGCGAGCTCATCCCAGCCTGCACCAGAAAGGACTCGACTCCCGTGGATTGCTCCAGAGTCTCGGAATCACGCGACGGCTTCCGTGAGATTTCGTCCGAACACCCTCCTGCCCTTTGCTTTGCCTCTGGACTTTTGCAGCTGAAGGGGCAGCTGGAAGCAGCACTTGAGCAGTCACGGCCGTGACATCAAGGCGACGAAGGTGCAAAGGCCCTGGCCTCCACCGTCGCAGAGCTGACGAAGCTGCAGCAGCTCTGGTTTGACCTGCGCTGGAGCGACATCGGCCAGGGCCTCGGAGGGCGCTCTGGTCGAGGAAGAGTCGAAGCATGAGGGCTGCAGTTGGTTGCATGGGCGACGCAGCACGCACCCTTAGTGACCACGGCTCCAGCTGGGGCGACGGGAAGGCCCCTCCTCCCTGTCGCGAGGCCCTGCAGGCGGTAGGAAACCCTGCCAAAACTGCAGCAGTTCACCGGGCTTTAAATTGATGTGCGATGCCTTGGCCACCACAAAAAGCTCCAGCGGCTGACGTTGGACGTTACAACTACATGGGCCCGGGCCTCCGGGCACCAAAGGCTTCACACCCGTGCGTTTCACTGGCAATCCTGCAAGCTGACCCCATTCATTTTTTCTTCCATTCCTGCGCTTATCTTCGTTTCTGATGTCGACTTTTGGATGTATATAGGCACCCGGAACGGACTCGCCACCCGTGATTTGTGCTTCCAGAGTCTGGGATTGGAGCGATGGCGAGAAAGTCTTGCGGCTGAAGGGGGTCGCAACCCTGGCACCGAGGCGAGGAGGGGGCAAAGGCCCTGGCCTCCGCCTTCGCAGAGCTGACGAAGCTGCAGACACTCTGGTTGGACCTGAGCGAGAATAAGATCGGCCCTCGAAGCGTGAGGGCTGCAATTGGCAATTGGTGTCCCAGGACATCCTGCGCCCTTAGTCTCTGCAGGCACCGCAGCAATGGTGGAGAGCCTGGCGAAGCTGCAGCAGCTCACGGAGCTGACGATTGATCTGCGACGGAACGAGCTCGGCCCGGGCCTCGGGGGACTTGGAGCTCGGGGGGCGGGTGCTCCTCCGATGGACTCGTGCTGCGCGGCAATAGAAATCATCTTCAGTTTACAGGCTCTTGCGAAGATGCCAAACAGCGGCATATATGGTCAAGCGCTCCGCGGCCATCCCCCTGCCCCCTCCTGTGGGATGGAGTGCGGGTTCCCTCTTCCCCCTGTGGGGTGGTTGTGGGAGGGTTTTGGGGTTTTGGGTTTACCTTAGGCTTTTGAGTTTGGGTTTAGGGTTCTGGGTTAAAAAGTATCAGGCTTCGAGTCGACAAGGGCTTAGGGAGGGTTTGGGGTGCAGGCTCGTTAGGGTTGACAGTTTATGTTCGGTTTATGCTTAGAGCCTGCATTTAGGCAGGGTTTAGGATGGTTTAGGGTTGGGTGAAGGGCTTGAATTTTAGGCTAAGGTTAGTAAAAGCAGGAGCAGGCGCTACTACGCTACGTTGTAGGATTTATGGCTTGCGGAGGGCTTGCGTGCGATGCTAGCCTTGTCTGTGACGCCTGGTCCCCCCAAGCCAGGCCTCTCGTGCCAGCAAACAGTCGCACGTCAGCCGCGTAACTGTCGACGTTCCCCACGGTATGCCTCCAGGGGCATACCGTGGCAGGCCTCTCGCCCTAGCAAACGGAGAGGGGTGGGGGCGCGGGAGGAATAACCCACAACACAAGGAACCACAGGGGCGGGGTGGGGAAGGATAACCCACAACACAAGGAACCACAGGGCCCTTGCCCTTACCCTCCCCTTCGACACAAATGAGAATGATGGGGATGATGTTGTGCACAAGTGCTATTCCCAGTGTGGCTGTTGGTGGTACCTCTGTTCTACGTTGCCCTGGGCTTCGGCACCGCATGTTCATTGCTTCGTTTCAGTTGAGTTCGTTGAAGGTAAGCTTGAGCACGTGTTTGAATGATTTTCATTCGGGACTCTTGAGCAAGTGTCCGGAGGAGTGCGGATGGGGATCATGACCACCATCTTCGTCATCATCATCGCCATAGTATTCATCACTATCATGGGCTTTGGAGCTCGGGGAGGGCGAAGTTCAGTAGAACTGTATCACATTGAGCCGACTGCAACCACAGGAGAGGGGGAGGGGGGAAATTACATCCCAAAGAACTGGGGTGGGTGGGGGGAGCCCTAGCAGCGCTGCTATGGTGGGGGGGGGGCTGGCGTGTGCGTCCGCCCCACCCGATTTCCTGGCCATTGACCTTTGGCGGGGGGAGGGGGGGGGGGCCGCGGCGTGACCATACATAGAGGCGCTGTCCACGCTCGCCTTAGGCAAAGCAGTCCTGAGCTCGCCACACCAAGCCCAGGCGAGGAAGCGAAAGAGAAATTCCGAGCCGCCTTCAAGGCGCTGCGCGTGAGCAAGACATGCAAGAAGAAGCTCTACCTTTGATCCAAGGCCGCGCCCGGAGTGTACGACGCCGGTTGGCCTTTGGGGGGAGTTCGGGGCTTCGTCTCGTGGCTGGGAGGCCTCGGCGCGCTGGCGGCTTTTCCTGACCCCTTCAGGCCGCCGAAAAAAGAGATCGCTGCGCTTTGCTGGAGTCCGAACATAGCAACTTGCGTAGCTTCCTTGGAGTGCAGGCTTGGGCATCAAACGGGGCTTACCGCTGTAGTAACTGGGGTCAGGATGTGATATTACCGCAGGGTCAAGTCGGAAAATTGGATTCGTGATTGAGGCACTCGGTGTATTTCGGTGTCTCGCACCCACCCCAAGCTGTAGTCTCTAACTGCCAAACCTCAGCCTTCGTGCGAGCCGTTCTGGTTCCACGACTATGCCCCTTCATTGTCGGGATAGAAGCACTGCCCTGCAGGAGCTCCGGGAAAGGGGGTCAGCAGCCAGCTCGGTCTGGGCGACAACCACTGGAATGATCCGAAAACGACTCTGCATCCTAATGACTCATGACCTTCTGATGTGATCAACTCCTGACTCTGCCTTCCCCTACGTTCTGATGGCATCCTCAGACGAGCATCTAGAGGCCGTTTCCGGAAGAGTATTGCGAAGCGTAGAAAGCTCTGCTTCTGCTCTTGTCGACACGTTTATTCGACAGTTTTCGAGGCGATGCTCCAATGTAAGGGGTCGAACCTGTCACGCCTTGTCTTGGTCGTCTTGGACTCTTCCGAGTTCTGGGATGTGGAAAGGCCTTGTTCGATCTGAGATGCTGCACCTGACGTCTTTTGAAGCCATTTCGCTGAAAAGACACGTTTTGCACCGCCTCTGCGGCTCGAATGAGGTGCACCCCGGCCTTGTTACAATGCAATGATTGATAGTTGACATCGCGTCATCAAGTTTCATGCAGCATCCGGCATTGCTACGTAGGTACGGGCCGCATTCATCCTAAGAACAGATACACATGTTTTGGAAAGCAAGCCAAAACCCGAAACCCTAAACCGTATCTTCAAAGGTCCGAGCCTTTGTCCTCCGAGCCGCGAGAGCCAAGTCCACAGCTTTCAGCTTCAGTTTAGGGTTTCGGGTATGGAGTTTGGGGTTTAGGGCTTATGAAGCTGAGCTGGCAGGTTCGAAAGCCCTCGCGATGCAACAAGCTGCGTGTGATTCGTGCGAAAGCTCGCAGGCCAGGGCATTCAATGCCTTAGACTTGAAAGGATGTGGCGATCCAGGTTTATGGCTCAGACAAAACCAAACCTCGGCTTTGATGGCCGTTGCGGGACGTTTAACAGTTTAACACATTTTAATACCGCATGGGGTGGTTGTTTAGATTTCGAAAAGGTCAAAAGGGTGCAGACCTCTTAGAGATCTTCGGGTGTTCATGTTTTCACGGTCGTTGAAGGCCTTCCTCGGCGACTTGCTTTAAGAAGTTAGCGTGAGGAATGGTTGAAAAAGACGCAGTTGTGGTCAGCTCTGAGATGGTGTCACATGCCGACAATCCACGAATATTTTCGCATGCAGGTCGCGCAAGGGGCTGTGACAACCATGCGCCGCGCGATGAAGATCGAAGGTGGGCTTTACACAAAGCACCAGAGAGAGAGAGGACATGATTCTCCTGTGGGTATGACAAACAGATAGAATCGGAACTCTACGACCCTTTAACCGCCTAGGCCTAGACGGTATTCTGGCAAACCCAATTCCAACTAGCAGGTACTGTGTTCCAGCAATTAGCTTAGTTGGCGAATTTGCCGGCTTGAGCAATCCTTGTCCGATCCGTCTATGCGCACCACACAAGACTAAAAGATTGCGCCCCAGCTCCGAAAGCCAAGGGTCCAGATGTTCAATGAAGGAGCGAAACCCAAATCCAGTGAATTCCTAAACCTGCAGCAGCGTGGTTCCTGCTACTACGACTGATTGATGATGACGACGCTGACGAGGGCATTCCACCTGTCGTACATGGTCGTACTGAGACGAGGCGACGTATACCATGCCTCAGGCTTCCTTCTTATAGTGTATACCCATGACCCTATTCGAACCATCAAGGCCCCTAGATTTAACATAACATGACAAGTAAGTTTAACCCTACTACAGCACATCCCCCTAATCCTCATTCTAATGTGTAAGGCTCCTCAAGTAACTTTCTGTGCCTTTGTCAGGTCAAAGGAAAAACCCAAGTGCCACTTTTTCAGACCACGACTCACTACACGGCGTCTCTGTAGACCCCTTGAACTAGTCTGGGCTCGGCCAATGAAGCGCTCTTGAGGGGAGGAGTCGTCCTAAAGGGTGGCTCAGGCCTTTGAAACGGCACCGAACGGGCCCAGAACCTCCGAATCTGAAGTAGCGACGTGCTGTTGGCGCAGGCATTCTGACATCTGAAGTTGCTAGAAGCCCAATGGGCCGATTGAGCTTCGTCGCCGCTTTAGATCCGATCAGCTTGGCTCTCGCATGCGGAGACGGCTCTGAGACTCTTCGGGGCGCTTGGGGGGTGCCACGGGCTTTCTTTCGGCTTGCTTCTCCGCTGTTGGGTGTCTTTTAGCACAGAACTTGTGCCGACTTGAAGCGACAGTCCGGTGCCTTGCCTTGTCTTTTGCAAACCTCCTTCAGTGAAGACCCAGGGTCCGGCTCTGATGAAGTCGAAGGCCCCACTGCAATGGCCCAAAGGTGCGGCTAAGTGTCGCGGAAGCCCCATACTCGCGGCTCGGGGGATGTTTGGGAAGCCGCCCCGCAACTTAGAAGACGTCGCGTAGCCGGCACATGGAGTGGCCTTCGCGGTTTCTTTCGCCGGAGTTGAACCGGCACGAGGAGCCCTTCGCTTCGGACCAAGCCCACAAAGGAGGCCTACCTGACCTTGGCCGTTCTTTCGAGTGAACTCGCCTGCAGCCATAGCCATAGCTGCGTCTCCCCCCGGCGCGTGAATGAGCCGAAAGCCCGATGGGACATTTCCGATTGTCTTTGGCAGATGTGACAAGTACAACCAGGCACATCCAACATTGTGTTGCTTGCAGTGACAATGACGTTTCAGCTTGACCTTTTGCTGATGAATGGTCTTGGGGCGATGAGGCATGTGCCAAGTGTGACCTGACAAAGGGGGAAAGCACGAGTTTAGGCTGAGATTCTCCGAGCAAGACACTGCCTTTTGTTGTTGGTGTCGCCAGTGTGTCGCCGATTGGATCGAGCTTTGCTTCCGCTGTAGGCCTTAAGTGCAGATTCCGTTGACCTATGCCCACCACGACAACTTCAGTTTGCCCTACTGCAAGGAGTTTTTGACAGCCTTTCAGGGCCTTTCAGTTTCCTTGTTCGGGCACATCAACTTTCGCAGATTTGCTGTTGCAAGGCTGCATTCGTGAGAGCTCGTCAACACCCCGAGCTTGAGGGATCACTGGACTGCTTGCCAAGCAGGAAAACGTGAAGCTGTGGAACTTGATATTGTTGCCCTAACATGAGACTGTGCTGACTGAATCGGAGCCGCGAGGAAATGCTTTTCATGCCGCAATTTGGCTTCGAACTCGGCTCTTCAGAATGATTGAATCATGAATTTCTGCTGCTCAAGTCCCGCCATGCCTGAAAACCTTAGCCGCCAAACCCCTTCTAAACCCTGCCATAAACGCCCTCTAAACTCTAGACCATAAGGCCCTGATCCTCTCATGAGACTCTTCTTGCTTCTCCTGGCTCGGCCGTTTCTCGCCGCCAGCGAAGCGGGGGACAATGCAGCATTTTTGGTCCCTGAGGCCGCCGCACCCGAGTTTAGGGCAAAGCTGCCCCCAAAGCCCTTAAAGCCGGATTTACAGCAGCCTTCCAGGGGTGGTAAAAGCGGGGTCAAGGGCCTTATCGGAGGTGATGCGTTGTTTTGGGGGGTCTAAGCAATATGCAATAATTCCCACGCTGGTTCGTCCTAGTTAGACTGTACTACACCATTCCCGCAAGCCCTGTTGCAATTATTGCGACCCCGGAAGCCATAAACCCTAAACCCTGGGTCCTTAATCTGGAACCTTTAACGTGAAAGCTTTTCGAGTATACGATAAGGCTAACGAGCACCGGTATTTACGGTTGTAGCAGGTAAAATAATCAGATCGTCATAATCATGGCAGTCATCATAGCAAGAATGATTGTAGGAATAGCAAGCGTGTCGCTGGCCATACTCGACGTCATACTCGTCGTCAACCCCTTGACCCTGAACCCTGACAGCCTAAAGACCTAAACCGTAAATAATATACCCCAAACTGTAAACCCCGGACCCTGAACCCAGAAGCCCAAATCCTAAACCCTAAATCCCGAAGCCCCAAGAACCCTAAGCCTCAAACCCTGAAGCTTAAAGCTTTCAGCCGATGGCTGTAGCTGAGTTCTCAGGAGGGCGCCGATGAAGCCCTACAGCTTCTTCAGCTTCGCGGGAGGGAGATGCGGAGGGATGGTGTGGAGGCCGTTCTTTGGACTTTGGGGGTATGGAGGGGCTATTTCAGATCTGTGGGGCTGTGGGGATTGAGGGTTTATGCGGTTTATATGGTTTAGGGGTTGTGGTGTTCTGTTGTACGGGCTTAATTGACGATAAGGTTCAAAGCTCACGGGGTTTAGGATTACCCGGTGTCACGTATCTCGAAGAGTCTTTTGGCTTTTGGGTGTGGGAGCTCTTACCAGCAGTTGCATACGCAACAAGAAGCTTCACCCTGTTTCCGCCTGACCCTGGAGCGGTGGAAGCCCTAAACTCTACAGAAGAGGAACGCTGAACCCCGCAGCGGGCTTGTGGCTTTGGGTGAGTTGTTAAGACTTGGGGTTCAAGGCTGAATGTCGGGCTTCGTCGGGTTTAGTGCAAACCTCAAAGTGGGCTGAGGGTTTAGGGTTGCGGTAGAGCGCTAGTCTATGAACACTAGCGACTGCAACGTTCAGGAGTTAGCATCGCAGAATTTGAGCGTTGTAGATGGCTGAGGCTTGGCCTTTGAATGGTTGCCTTTACGAGCTTCTTTCTTTTGCGAGCAGTGAGTTTGGGGCCCATGGGCTTTCGGGTTGCAGAGCTCAGGCCGATAAGAGGTTGAATCGTAGCTTGTTTTGGCCAGCACAAACAACTAGAATAGGCCGCTGGGTGTGCAGAATCATTCATCTTTATGGGGACTAGAACTGAATTTAATCACTAAGCACTGATAAAAGGCAGCTGCATTTCGTGCCATATGCCTGCTGGAATACACATGGCCAATCATATCCGTATCTATGCAGAAGAGGACTGCCCAGAGCTTGAACATTCCTAGGTACACAACCAGTTCTGGTTTGTGCGCAGCGAGTTCTTGCTTGCCTGAGCAGCAAAGATTCGCCACCCTCGCGTCAAGCTTTGCACGATAGAGCTGCTGCTCTTTCGCAGGTTCGTGTGTTCCGGCATTGTGTGCGACGGGTGAGTACCAAGGCTGCGGGCTCTTCAGTGCTGCGATTACATGTGGTACTTCTTCCAGAAGCAAGCCCAGTGTGTAGGAATTAACCAATGCATCATTACCGTCGCAATCAAGTCTATAGACATTTTGATGTATATGTAAATGTATATGTATATGAATCTGCCAAGGTAAAGGTAGTGTGTATGTGTATATACATGTATGACTTCATTTCGAGAATCGTTTCTACAGACAACAGGATAGATACAGAGATAGTGAGATGGATAGGTAGATAGATAGTAAGATAGTAGATAGGTTGGTAGTAGATAGATAAATGCCAGATGTCATAGACTAGACGAAGATAGAAAGACGAAACGCCGAAAAGACTGCAGCTGTGTTTCTTTTGTTTTCCGTTTGATCTGCCTTGGTTGGTGTGGAATGTCATAGGAGGTCTCGCGGCACTCTGTTCGTAGATAGTTCGACTCACATTTGCCCAGCACTTGCCAGGAGAGGTATTGATTATGACCATGAAGGTGCTGGTGATGCTGGTAATGAGTAATCGTTGTGACGATGGATAAACAGCATGATGTTGCTCATGCTTAGAGTGATGATGATGACGATGACTGTGATGGTGCTGAGGATGATCCACAGGATGATGTTGATGATTTTGTTGCTTTTGATGATAATGAGGTGATGACGAGGGTGACAATGATTATGGCAACGATGACGATGAGGGAACCAGAAGCTTATGCTGGTCGCGGTCACGGTGATGGTCGTGACGTCGACGATGAGGCGATATTGGCCATCACGCCGAGTTCCCTCCCGCTTGTAGTTGGTAGTCCAATCTTTCTTCCAAGCTTGAGACATGTGATTAATCGCGAAGAATGTCGCTGCATGCCACAGATCATTCACTCTGAGCCCTCCCTCCCCAAACTACGTATCGACACAATGAACAGCCGCACGGGTAGACCCCAATTTTTTTTTGGTCCGGTGCAGCCGAAAATATCCGACTATGGGTCTGATGGCTTGTATAGGCAGCCTCGTGTCCAGGTGAAGGGTGCGAAGCCAGGCTACACGCATGCCGGCAACTACACGCGGCGTCGGCTGCCTGCGTGGAACACCCCAGAGATGTGGTGCACAGGCAGGTGGGCTCTTGTTGATTGTGCGTGTTGCTATGCTTGTCGTGGCTTGCAGGAGTTCCGGTTGGCGGGTTGAGCGGTTACGCTCATTCGGCGCTTGAAACTCATACGATGCGATTGGTGCTGCAGTTGTTTATCAATAGCCCACTAGACAGAAATCCTCAACCCCAAGCCAAAGCTCAGACGAACTGCCTTGATGAAAGCCCACGACCATAAACCCTAAGCCCTGAATCCCAATCCTAGGCCTGCACCCTGAACCATACCTTAAGTCCTCAGCGCTAGTCTAAAAGCCTTGAAGAGAGCCTCAACCCTTAACACCAAACCATACAAGGAGGATCGGGGACGCAGTAAGTCAGGATCCCTGAACCCCCTGCCCTCCTTGATGACTAGATTGAGGTCTTGGGGAATCTCATCCTACTCCAAGGGAATCCTAAGGACATACTCCATCATCATCATAGTATCATCCGAAACCCTCAACCCCAAACCCTATACCCCTAAACCCTAAGCTCTAGACACTAAACCCTATAACCCTTAACCCTATAAGCCTATAACGCTACAACCAACCCTACAACCCTAAAATCCTAAAACCCTTAACCATGACCCGAGCCCATGAAGGCCGAGGGGCCGACCTGATCGATTCGCCGCTGATGTCAGAATTTTCGGCCATCTGCGGTTTGGGCTTTGAGGGGTTTGAGGTGTTTGAGGGCTTTAGGGGTTTAGGACATTTAGGGTTTGAAGGCGTTTGTAGGTTTAGGTCGACCATCTGCAAACTGTATCACTATTGCTACTGTTGGTACCGTCCTATTAACCAATTTGAATGCAAGATAATGTCCAAGCTCATGTGGCCCCTTCAGCTTGGAAGTGAGATGGGGGTTTTGGGCCTTGCAGTTGCAGCGTCGTGGAGTTTGAGGGACGAGTGTGGTGTTTTAGGAGGCCCTACGCCGGCAATCTCGAACTTCACGGTTTTTATTCTTGCAAAGGATGCCTGCAGAAGGACCCTGACTTTTTGAAACTCCCAAGCTTAAACACGATAGACTGCTCATCATCTTCCTTTTCATCATTATCCATAATTTTTCCCGCTTCATCTTAATGGTTTGTATTCTACGCATCTACGTCCTCATCACCACCATCATCATCATTGTCGCCGTCGCCGTCATCACTATGACCCTCATCGCTACAGTATCAACATAAATAATGATCATCGTCGGTACCAGCACCAGAATCAACCACGCCAGCAGGCCGAAACCCTGAAAGGCTAAGCCTGATGTCCCAGAGTCCCAGGAAAGCGAAGGCCAGCAGCTGGCAAAGCTGCAGAATGCAACGATGGACCCATCGGCGCTGAAAGTGTCCGTCGGCTTGAGGTTGAGTTTGTAGGGTCTGCAGCACAGGGTTTCGCATTTGCGGTCTGTGGGCTTCCCCTAAGCCCGAACTGCTTCGCCTTGAACCAACTCTGGACTCAAAAGCCTCGCTTCCCGAATAGAACTCTCATGCAAAGCTCATAGAAACGCAGATCACAGCCAATGGCAAAGATAGAAAGCCCGTCGCATCCAAACCCCATACACCTTTCCCCGAACTACAGGGTTTAGGGTTTAGGGTTTTAGGGTTTAGGGTTTAGGGGTTTAGGGGTTTAGGGGTTTAGGATTTTAGGGGTTTAGGGGTTTAGGGTTTTAGGGTTTAGGGTTTGGGGTTAGTGCTCCAGACCGAGGCTTGTGGATGTGGATCAGCGGGATGCCTCGACAGCAAACGCCTTGATGCAGGCACATGGGTGGTTGCCAAAAATATGGTCCCTTTTTGGGTACCCAAATAGTATAGGTGCTGTATTATAATAAGGACCCAAAAAAAGACCCTAATACTGACAGCCACCCACATACTTCTTCGAACTTGCCGCGGTACTTCCAAGGTTCTTGGCGGTTCCAGAGTCCTTAACCGGGCTTCCAGAAGGCCCCCAAAGGCTTACCTAACATTTCTTAACTAGGTTCTTTTTCGTAGGTGATATTGCTTTTGTAAGGGAGTTTCCGATGTTCGAATCCATAGTACAGAGGTCGAAAAAGAGAACTAGGCAGCGCCGGTCTGCTTCAAATGTCAACAATCTGACCTTAAGCTCTACATTGACATACCTCCGACATGCTTCCCTAAAGTCTAAACCCTTAAGCCCTAAGCCCCTGAACCCTAAACCCCTAAACCCTGCCCTCCACCCTAAACGTGCAGGCCCGGGAGCAAGTACCTTACAGGGATGCACAGCAAGCATGCGTCCCGAACACCCACTAACCGCCGTTACCGTACCTGGAGAGACTGCCGGACCCTCAACCCTCAAAGACTCCAAAGTTTCAATCCCTCAAAACTCTGAAGCCCATACCCTCAAGCCTCTGTAAAGCCCCTCATCCCGATCCGCTGAGAGCAAAACATGGCGCAGGGCTTCGCGGATCGCAGCGAAGTCTTCACGGCTAAGGCGGTTTGTTCTGTAAAGCTTCAAGGGCGTTGAGGTTTGAGGTGCTGTTCTTGGATTTAGTGTCGATGGTTTTGGATCTCACCTGAGACCCTCGACATTAAATTCCGACGAACCCTTGGATCGGCCAGGGTCCTGAGGGGGCAGATGAAGATCATCCCGGAAAAGTCCCAAGGCTTGAGTGAAGTTGCCTATTAGGGCTGTCGTCGTGAACAGACTGAGTACGATAATGTGGTCGTTCGCCTAAGCAAGCTTGATTGTCACAAGTGGCAGTCGTGCCCGCCCCAAAAAGAGCTTTCTTAAAGCTGTCTGCAGATCGAATGGGACCTTCAATAGAAAGGCCCTAAACACTCCAGGCCCTGAGCCCTAAACGGTCTGAGGCTTCGGAACTTGAGTGTTTGGGGCGTAGGGCCGGGCGAAGGGCAGGGCTTTCCAAGGCTTCATTGGCGTTTCTTCTTTTTCGGGGTTGTGGTGCAGACAGGCAAACCGTAAGCCCTGAACCCTAAACCCTAAACCGGCGAATCAGAAGCCAGAGCTAAGAGTCCTTGGAAGGGCTCATCAATCCTGAAACCATTCAGGCAGAGTACTTCCCGCTTCTATTCCATGCCTATGCTCCACACAAGGGCCGCGGAGTATGTCAGAGTCTCAGACGCTTTTGGGGCAGGGCATGCGGAACAAGGTACAGTAGACTCTTCATTTCGACGCCTTGGGTTCAAGAACCGTGGGCTCGTTAACCCTCGACTGGTAGGGTTTATACCCAGGACCCTAATACAAGCACCATGGTTTTTTGACCAGGTTCCTGCAACACAAACGCTAAGACTCAGGCATCTCGGTCAGCTTGATGCATCCTGGTAGGGGTACTTAAAGGATCATGGGACTTAGTAACTAGGGTTATAATTAAGGTAACTCCACTTATATTTACTTATAACTCCAATTAAGGTACTTATAACCCTACTTACTAAGTCCCATGATCCTCCAAGTAGAAGGATTTGAGGCCTTGAAGCCGAAATCCCATGCATGGCTTAAAGCCTACGGCAGGAGAATCAAAACCTCTTGTGGCCTTGAAGCCCCCTGCCCCAGTTTCGAGATTCCCTGGCCTCGAAAGCCTCACCCCGTTTTGTCTTGCATTGACTTTGGGGTGTAGCGTTTAGGGATTAGGGTTTAGGAAAGTTTAGGGTTTACGGTTCAGGGTTGCGAAGCTTCTGGGATCCTCAGACGCTGAAGCCACGAAGCGAACTACCCACATGCTTCAGACCATCCAACCCCCCCAGAATCCGTTAAGAAGCAATAGAGCATTCCGTCAGAAACTTGCAGGAATCATTCCAGCCTTGCATGCAAATCCCTAACGGTACTAAGTACCCCTTCACCCGGAAGTGAAGCTCTTGTCAGGTCCTAGTCCGGATCCGGAGATGGCGTCTCAGCAGCATGTTGTCAACGGAAGGGACCAGAGTAACCCACAGAGAAGCGAAGATCTCTGACATAAAGACTGGTGGGCCCCTGTCGGCTCGCAACCGCTGAGGACATGGCGCAAAAAATCCAGCTGCTCAAGGAGACGTGGGAGTTTTGGAAAATGGGACCCTAATATAGTACCCTCAATAGTAGGATCCTTATGATGACTAACGTGCAGATAACAGCAACTGCGTACATACTTCCATCCCCGTGCACGCACAAGCTTCACACACAAGGAAGCATACAGGTTCTCGAAAAGCCGAGAGCACCATCCCTTCCATCCGAGAGACCGAATTGAAGATGATCGTTTGGGTTGAACTGCAACCTCCCGCATTAAATCCCGTTATAGGACTCTCATCAGACCCTTCTAGGACCCTTGTAAACTCCTCACAAGACCGTATCCCCTGAAAAGCCAGATCCCCTGAGGACACGCCCATGCCGATGGGCATCGGCTTCGCCCACAACCTGAATCACACCAGGCCAGTCTTAGGGGTATGTTCATCTCTTGTGCAAACGCCAGTCAAACCCCAAAGTCAAAAACGTAGCATACATAATGACACATATACAATTGAACACATTAGAACTTTGATATCCCAGAACCGGCAGGTACATGGTAAATACGAAATGGTAGGAAGTGAAGAGGAGAAAGACTAGCAAATATGCAGTCAATCAATGTGGGAATTCAGGAGAATTAAAGATATCCAAAACCGATAATAATGGGAAGCATGTAGGAGACAACTCGGCGACTTCAAGACAAGTGAAAGCTATAGACATGTCATGAAGACTCCACAGTTTTCCTGGATTATTGTATTTTGCCGGGGTTATGTATACCATCAACGTAGCTCTTATGGCGTTTATCAAGATTTTTAAGTTTGCTTCTAGTTTCGTGGGTTTTCCAAGGTTGTCCGAAGCTTTGCAACGTTTCTGCAGCGTTTCTAGTGTCTTCCGTGAGTATTAACTGAGTTTCTCATATTTTTCTACGACGTTTCTTTTAGTTTTCCAGTTTACATAGGATAAGCAAGAGGCTCCAGGAACAACATGTGTGTTCTATGTTTTGCTGCGTTTTCTTGTGTTTACAAGGTTGTCTGATAGTTTTTATAATTACTGCCGTTTGTTTAAAGGTTCCTAGTTTCCAACACTTTTTGTCTTAAGATCGTCTGAAATATGTCCGAGTTAATTCCTAGCTGTTCCTGTGCTTGTCCTCCTGTTTTCATATCTATTTCCCTTGCATGGTTTAGTTTTCGCAATGACCACTTACTTTTTTGCAGTACATGTCTCTAGGCATCTTTGACTTAGGTGTTGTTCTAGAAGAATTTCGAGTTCAGTTTTGGGATGGTGGAGCACAGAATTGAGGCTTTTTCGGTTCTGTTGTGTTCAAAATCTTCAAGAAGTTTATGGAATGCGATGGACCTACTTCGCTGAGTTATTGGTGTTGCAGTGGCCATTTCGGGATCCGTGTCGTCGCTAAGCAGTGAACATGTGGGGCTGTTTCTAGCTCGCCGGGGTTCTTTCAGGGATCAAGAAAGGTTTTTGGGTTAGGGTTTAGGATGTCAGGGTGCGGGTTGATAGAACGATGCTTGGAGGATCATGAGACTTAGTAAGTAGGGTTATAAGTACCTTAATTGGGGTTATTAGTAATTATAAGTACAGTTACCTTAGTTATAACCCTAGTTACTAAGTCCCATGATCCTTTAAGTGGTGACGTCCACTGGACAACAAGGGTGTTTGCACCATTGTAGTGCGGCACGATGCCAACCATAATTCCAGATTGTACCGACCACTGCCAAAGAATTGAAAATGCATCACCAAAAGGAAGCATTCATTTGAACCAGTAAGTTAAATCAGGAAACACAGAAGCACCATGTCCCGAAGTATGAAAGCACTCAAAAGCTTAAGCTACAATCACACATCCGAAAGCCCTGATCGTCCGAAGAACTTCCAGCAAAGTCTTTTCTACATGAGGGTTTCGGGTTTAAGGTTTAGGGTACGAGTTCCAGAAGTGTACAATCACAGTTCTATAATGTTTGTAAAACTTTTGCTCGCCGTGCCGCAGCAAAAGAAGTGACTTGCTCCAACATGACAGCTCCAGGATCAAGGCTAAGACGGTAGGAATTTAAGATTGTTCTTAAGATCAGATAAACAAGATCCTACCATCTTGCTCCCCAGTTTTTGATTCTTTCCTGGTTGTTTGCTTCTGGAAGACCAGGAATTCAAACCCTAAACCATAGCAATCATTCAGTGGTTTACAAGTTCACAGTATTTCGAGGAAGCTACCCCTGGTCCCACAGAAAGGTGTCACAACGCCCCTCAGCCAAGCTCCAAACCTTAAGCCCGCAAAGCTTCTGTCTTTCGACCCTGACCCCAGCCCGAAACTCTACACCCTAAACCCTAATCCCTTAATCCCCCTTTAACCCTCAATGAGCCTTGATTTCGGCCCAAGCACCTGTGGAGGTACCTCGAAGTGCTGCAGCTGCTGGAAAGCTTAGTTGGCATCGGAGCTGCGGGGCCGCTGACTGCCGGAACCTCAGGGGACGCTTGCCTCCGGGTAAACTCTGAACCCCAAACCCTAAAGTACAGCGTAACTTGGAGGTTTAAAGGCTTCGGGTTTTGGGCAGGTTCAGGGTTTGGTCGGATGTTTGCTTTCCAGTTCTGGTCTGGAGGTTCGTTGGACAGTACGTTGTAGCGTGCAGCTACCCTAAACCCTAAACCCTAAACCCTAAACCGCCCGATGGCCTGAGCCAGTGATCTGCCAGGGACCTCGGCCCTAAATCCCAGGCCCGGATTCAGGGTTCCCTAATCCTTTGAACCCGAAACCTCTAAGCCCCTAAACCCCTAAATCCTATGAACGTTGTATTTTAAGCTCTAAACCCCAAAACCCTAAGGATTAACAAAAAGGGCCCTAATCCTTACCTACTTCCGATGAGGCATGAAGCATCGTACTATGGGGGCCGAAGCATCATACGAAGGGGGCCTCAATAATTTACCAAGACTATTGTGGGGGTTCCTTCTTATAATGATAGTATAATGGCCCCCAAAACCCTATTCTAATTATTAAGGCCAAGCATCATACTTTGGGGCCAAAACGGCCTTGAGCATTGATTGCACAACATGTAGTCACATACCTGGCTTTTGTGCTTCGATGTTATCTGTATGTTTACACCAGTAGGCATGCATATATATATATATAGATACACACATATGTATGTATGTATGTATGTATGTATGTATGTATGTATGTATGTATGTATGTATGTATATATATATATATGCATTATACGTAAATACATCTAGAGCTACACACACATGCATATGGTCATGAATAGTTTCAGATATAGTTAGTAACTGTAAGTGTATATACATATGTATAGTATATATCATTGCATACATGTATATATATATATATATATATATATGTATGTATGTAGTTATATGTTTCCGTAAGTAGTTGTACCTAATGGTCTGAAGTTGTGTATATGTATAGTTATATATTGTGAGCGATAGTTACATACAGTTTTATGTAGCCGCATGTAGTTACATGTTTTGTGTTGCGCTGTATATATATATATATATATATATATAGTTGTATTTAGCTCTATCTAGTCAATATATATATATATGTATATATACTCACGTATATATGGTTCCTTAATTTTCATGGTATTCCTTTCAGGAGTCCCGCGCAATCTTGGATCTTGGATCTGCCATATTGAAATACAATGTGTTTTAATATTTGAATTTGGTCCTCTGCCCTTCTTGGCTTCGTTGTCTCCACGGCTCTTGTGACGGTCTGCATGTGCATATCTGCGGCAGTCTGTATGTGCTTTTCTGCCACATGTGGATTGCAAAGCAGCTTAAAGCAACTGCGTCATTCACGTTGCAGCCCTTGTTGTCTCAAGCCAGCTACTCCGCATCGTTGCAGTCTTGTGCCATGATGCAGTGGAACTTGTTTTTCCTTGGGCTCGCCGGCGGCGGTTTTGTCATCGATCGCATGCGGATTGTCGTTCTAGCGGCTTCTGGCGCATCCTTTTTGTCCATATCATCCACAACCGCGGCCGGCCGTGCGTCCATAATTGCATTGCGTGCGGCGGCTCTTTCCGAACTTCGGTTTTGCTTGAATCTTGAACAACTGCTCGTTGGCAATGGCGCTCCAACCTCCGCGCTGCCCCACGACAAGCTTGAGTGATCTCAGTATATTGTTGAGGAAAGAACTTGTGCCGACCATGACGTGTTGGGTGGACCGGCACGTCGCGGTGATTGTCGCCATCATCTGCTCGTCGTTCCTGGTCACCCACCACGGCATAGACGATGCTGGCGGATATGCCCCTGCCATTTCGGCTGGAGCCGATCTGAGCACGGCCTCGCCGTTGTGATTTGCGGGTGACCGTGAGAGCCGCGAGACCGACAACCCAGAGGAGGAGAATCACAGGCACGAGACCAAGAACGCAGTTGAGCATTCAACAAAGGTTGATGACAGCGACTCAGACAGCTCATCCTCATCTGCCAGCAGTGGCAATAGCATCAAGTCCGAGGACATGAAGAAGATGTTGAAGGACATGGAGCTCGAGACCCGTACGTGGACGACAGAATGGGGGCGATGCGTGGAACAGCATGCCTCGTGCTTTGGATGATGGTTGTAGCGATGCAAAGCGTCGTCTTGTCGCCTACAGAGTCTTGAATGCTTCGAAGGAGGCAAAGGTGGAGCGGGGATCGAGCCAAAGTTGCTTGAGTACAGAACGTGTGCTTCGGTAGAAAATGTTTGAGCAGATGCTTGCTTCTCATGTACCATGTCTACCAGCCATCCAAAGCTTCTCGCATGCCATGTCTACCGACTATCCAACACCACACAACAAGCAACAACCAGAATCACATTCTGTTCTTTGGCTGTCTGTCAACTGCCCAAAAGCACACAACAGACAACAACCACAACCACATCCCGTTCTTCCGCAATGTGCTTCTCTTCAGACACTTGCTGTTGACAAGTTTAGCCTTAACCCTCGTTATCGCATCATCTCGTGAACCTCATGACTAACCTGTTGGAATCCACCATGAAACTCGTCGGCGGGAAGGAGTGGTCACTCGAAGCTTTGGCGGTTCCGCAGATGGCGCACGTTCACTCGGAGATAGACGACCCAATCAGCATGGAGAACTTCTTGGCCACCGCCTGCCGCAGGTGTGAACATTTGGAAGTTTGCTCGGCTATGTCTGTGCGACTAGAGCAATCCCAGCCTCGATAAGTTGCCTCGAGTGTGAGACCTTCGGCTGTTGTCTGGAGTCGAAGAGAGCAAAATACCATTGACCATGAAGTCTGCACAGTCATGGTTAACTCGGCCGGCTTTCAGGATCCGCATTACAACAAGAAATTACGGCCCCAGGGAGGATACCATGTAGACACCCAAATGGCGCTTCTCCGGTCAGAGCGCTGCCGACTAATACTTGCAAAGGCAGCTGCGCCTTCTTGGTCCTGCAGGACAGTGCGCATAGTTTGTTTGTGCAATCGGGATTTTCGACGTCGTTCTGTTGCCACGGTGGCGCTATGTGAAAAAAAATTCTGCGAATTAATCCGAAGCTAGAGATGGATATGCGTCACATTGAGTCGCAGCGATGGTGCGGAAGCACATGTGCCAGGGAATGTCCAATCTGCCGGGCAAATGAGACTCCTCCGTGAATGACGGAGCTGCCACACGCACACAGTCAGATGCCGTGCCGAAAGGAATTGAAAGACGTGTGGTATTTGCGTGTGTACTGAAAGGGCTCCCAGTGCAAGACTTCAGGTTGTAAGTGGGGCTGACCCCCCCATAAAGCATCCTGAATGTGCTTGTTCTACTCATGTTTGGACAAGGAAACCCCACTGCCCAGGTGACACACGGATGCATTTCAAGGTTTGCTCTTGGAGGTGAAGCTGTTTAAGTTTGACAACGGCTTGCGGGCCAACTGTTTAGATTAGGTTTCAAGGGTGCTTTCGGGGTAATTGTATTAGACAGGACTTTTTCGGTGTGTACGGTCGGAGTGTCAGGGTTAAGGGGTTGTTGTTTCGGCTTATTTTTGGTAGACTGTCCAGGCCGTAAAAG